ATGTTGATTTTGTAGTGAAAAGCCTATTAGTTATGGTGCATAGTTAAATTTAACAGCCTTCAAACTGCTGTTGAAATTAGACTGTGTGAATACAGCAATGTTTTAAGGGCAAAACAAAGCTGTTTATCATTCAGATTATTTCTGTGGCTTTTGTCACACCACATCTAGATAAAGAAACACCCCTATGAATTTTTGCTCAAGGGTCGGTCACACATGAGGCTTACTCATGAGTAAGTAATGTTCAGGAATGCAGCCAGTTGGAATGTGGTAAAAAGGATCACATCTGTTCTTTCGTTTTTCTGGCATATGTAATTCCCAGTTCATGTGATCTGATTCCTCAGGAGGAATGGGGTTGGTAATGTTTAAAATATTGAGACACACGGTAAAAATACAAGAAGCTCAACATTCAGAACCTGTCTTTCCTCTCTCTCTTTCAACATTTAAATTGTGGAGGGAGGGGGGCAAGATTAACACAACAGCAGAGGCATAGCAGTTGCATCTTTGCTCAGTATCTTAAAGGGTTCTCTTGGACATATTTGTGATTTTAAGAGCATTTGTTGTGGTTACTTTTGCAAACCTCTTAAGGAACAGAGATTAGACCACTGGGAAATGCACAATTTTATTAATCCATTTCTGAAATGTAGTATGCCCTGTCCAATACAATTAATAGAGTTGCTTTTGGGAATGGGGAGCACAGCACAGAGGCAAAAACATTATTATGATCACCTCAGACACCTCTAATTTTGACCTAGTTACATTTATTTAGGTGAATGAATAGGGAACCCCAACAAAGCCCTGTGTACATAACTCCACCACTGGTTATTTGTTAAGGGAACTGTGAATTATAGCTCTTTGAAGGCTAAAATACAGTTCCCAGGAGTCTCTGGGAAAGTGGTACGAGTGTGTTAAATGTATGGTGATGATGTGACCACAAAGTCTTTGTTGCTTGCCATCAAGCCCTGCTATTATATGGCGGTACTAGCTTTAAATTTGTGGTTAAAGCAGTAGTGACTAGTCATGCAGATTAACCAATTAAAAATTGCTGCTCATTTTAAATAGATCTTGGCCATGACTTGGCCCTATTGTCAGCACAAGCAGCTCATAGGATCAAGTTGCAAATGAGTTTAGTCCAATTGATTTAACTCTGTTTAATTTTGTCAGTAGCCAGTCTTGTCAAGCATGTCCTTTTGTGGACTACAGCTTAATGCTGATATCCTGAGACCATTTACAAGCTTGTAAATTTCAATAGGACTTGAGCGTTTTAAGTAAAAATAACAGCTGAGCCAGCCTGATGCCATCCATAAATACTTGAGTGAGCCCCACTGATTTCTGTGGGTCTTACTATCAAATATATGTCCTAATAATGCAATGTAGGATTACAGCCTTCAGCCATCTGTTGGTTACTACATTGTAAATCTCTTCAGAGAATTCTGTCAATGCAAAATGTTTTAAAAGCTGCAAACTGTCAGTCATGGTTAATTTCTTTCCTATATTGAATTCCTTTACTTTCCCATTAATTACTTGCTCTGTCTTGTTCAAGTTTTAATTCTACACTTGTAATTTGCTTCTGGGGTTTCTTTGATACACTGAACACTTTTCATAGCTGGGGGGACAGGGGAAGTTGAATGGGCATCATTCAGGCAAAATTTAAACACTCTTGAGTCAAATTGATTTCAGCTTGAGCTGCATTGTTCTCATTGTCTGAACACACAAAAGAAAAATGGGGGGGGTTACTTCCTTAAATAAATAAAAAATACAGTGGAGGCAAATTGGTCACTCCTTGCCTTGATTTTTAAGAAGAGTTTGATTGGATTAGTTAAAGCAGCCACCTCCAGCCTAGATTTCAAGGAGACTGAGGCTATGTATAACATTAGCAGCTTAAAATGCAGTGAGGTCATTTTTCACCATTGCATATCAGGTTGCTTTTGCACATTGTTTGCACATTGTTGTATATGCGGGGGGGGGCAGGCACGTCTTCACCCAAAGCACATTACCTGTTTGGTTTCCCCAAGCCTGCGTGACATACACCCCAAGTCCTATTCACTGAAGCAGTCACCTGCATATGTCCCCTCTTCTGCACATGTGCAACGGCTGCCACCAGTCTACACGCTTCAGCAAAACAAATGTGGCTTCCATTTGCAAATTGGGTGGAAGCTGGTTTGAGGGGCGACACGTCAAACAACATTTCTCTACAGGACAGGTGTGTGTTGTGGCTAGCGCCATGTGTCCATGGCTTCAAACAGCAGCAGTGGAAGTGCACTGGAGACAGAGTAAGTGGTACCCTTACCACTTTAGTCACACAGCTTTACTCTTACAGCTTTAGTCTAAAAACTCATTTTGGCTGGGCTGGAGCCACAGGCTGGATGCTGTCGTTAAGAGCAAAAGCTCTATCATCAAAATAACTTGCAACCATTCTCAGTGTTGCCTGCCCCTGTTTACTGTTGTTTTCTGCTGTTGTGTATCCCTGACAGATACAGTAATTCATATTTGTATCAAGATTATCTTTAGGGAAGAGGCTATAGCTCAGTGACAGAATACATTTTACTAAATATAATAATAGGAGTGGTGCAGTATTTCCCAGTATCTATGATTTCCAGTTGCAACTGAGTCTTTGCATAAAACATCAGTAGCCAGAGCTTTCCTTTTTCATATTTATACCTCAGCATCTTCCCATTGCTGTAGGCAAAAGGATTTGTTTCTTTTTCAGGTCAAGCTACCAATGCTGCTGAAATCTCGCCTTCATTAAGGTACCGCTTTTGGCAAGCTTTCCAGAGCTCAATAAAGGAAGTAGCTACACAATAGAAATATAGATTTCTTAAACTTGATTGTTTAGCCTTATTGACTCCTTGAAAGTGATATAAGCTTGCATTTGTTTTGTGCTAGCTTTGCTCTGGCTCCAGAAACTTAAAAGCAGAAGCAGAAATTCAGCCTCCAGGGGCAGGCAGGAGGAGATTCACCCTAGGGCTCATAATCCTCCTTGTGGATAGATAGATATATAAGCATGTTTTATATTTCCTTTTTGTAGTTCCCAATAACCAGAGATATAGATGTTCCATCACATGTAATCCAAAGCACATGAGGGAGAACAAATGCTCTCCTTTCTAAATGACACTTCTGAACTTCTATCCTTGAGTGAATCATGAGATGATTGACATGCACATTTATATAAAATGAAATCAAGCTATGACACTTTGGATTGTTTTGTGTTATCATTGTCTAAGAAAGAAATATATTTGAATAAAATTCAGATTCTGAATATGCGAGTCCCTTCCAAAAGCAGCCATTGGAAAGTCCTGAATCGGGGTGCTCTGGGAGAGGAGAGACAGTCTAGGGCCCATTAAATTCTGAGCCATCACATGGTGATATTAAACTCTAGGGCAGCAGCCAGAGTTAAGATTGCAGCCATCAGCTGCCTTCAGCCATTAACACCCACACTTTAGAAGCCCACACATTCATTAGCAATTCCAAATTTTGAAGAAAGGCTAACCTCTGAACCTTACACTGATTTCAGCAGGCATTCAAGAGGAAAACACTCTCACCCAAAGCCACTGATTTGAAAGAGAGTCTTATGTTTATGGGATTGGAATATCTGACTTTGCCTTCTTGGTACTTTATTCAACCCACAGTTTGTTAAGCCTGCATCTTGAGCTTCTACTTGCATGCAAATTTAAAACTGATAGATTAGTTGTCAAAAACTCTTACTTTAAACTGACTAAGATTTATTTGATTGACACCCCTAAATATGAGGAACAGACTTTGACATCCTGGAAAAGGCCAACACTTCACATGTCAAGGTGAGAGAGAAGCAGATGATCCTGTGGCTTATGATATATCATGAACATAGCAATACACCTTGGTTTGTTGATGCACTACCACTTCACAGGTGAAAACAGATGCTGCAGTCAAAAGCTCAAGGTGACCAATGAACCAGATCTCTTTCACATTTAAGTGCAACTTCTTCTTCTTCTTATTATTATTATTCTTATTATTATTATTACTACTACTACTACTACTACCGCTGGTTACGTACTTAATTCGTTCTGGAGGTCCATTCTTAACCTGAAACTCTTCTTAACCTGAAGCACCACTTTAGCTAATGGGGCCTCCTGCTGCCGCCGCACCGCTGGAGCACGATTTCTGTTCTCATCCTGAAGCAAAGTTCTTAACCCGAGGTACTATTTCTGGGTTAGCGGAGTCTGTAACCTGAAGTGTATGTAACCTGAAGCGTATGTAACCCGAGGTACCACTATATTACTATTAACTGTATGCCTAGATACTCTTCAATTGTACTAATCTGAATAGGAGTAGATGGGAAGAGGTTATAATATGAGCCACAAAACAATCAAGCCAACATGGATTCCATTTACCTTCACACTATCAAAAACTCTTTCTGTGACTGATTAATGGGGATGCTGGAGGGAGGTGTACCCTGGTGACCTCTCAAATGACAACAGCATGTTAAGTGAGATTGTTTAGAACAGCCTGCAGTACCTAGCACTGGATGAATTGGGTTTAGATCCATCCCTCACCAGTGACCTTGGCTATGTCAGTATCCCCATCTGTGAAGTAGTAATATGCTTTGTAAGGTTATGGTGATACCGTTCTTTATATAATGATTTTGAGCTTTCTGCAGAACGATGTGGAGAACCTTATTTTGTAAGCTGTGATTTCCTAGATAAAGAAACAAACAAATAAATAAATGAAACTTTTCCAGAAAATTGACTTTAAAAATATGTATCTGGAAATTTAATTTCCACAAAGACTTGGATCTACTCCTGATGGTGAATGATGGTGATGATATCAATAAACCTAGGGAGCTTCAAACCAGCTCTAAGTTATTGGTTTAAGGTTCCAATACTGAAAACATCCCCTGCCATAGTTAAGGGAAGATGAAATCAGGGTCTTTTTTGGCTTGTAACCCCCCAGAACTGGCACTAAAATTGGAAAGGGGAAAGCAGTGGTCTATTGTTGGATTGAATTTTGAATTCATGAATCTCAAGGCCTGGAAAGCTCAGTTGGTTAGAGCACGGTGCTGATAAATGCCAAGGTTGCAAGTTTGATCCCTGTATGGGACAGCTGCATATTTCTGGATTGTAGGGGGCTGGACTAGAAGATTCTCAGGATCCCTTCCAACTTTACAATTCTATGATTCTAAGACAATTCTTTCTCTACGTTAAGATTCTTTCCATGTTGTGTATAATTCTGAGAAGGTACACAATGGAAGAGACTATGCTTCTGAAATGTCAACCAGAACAAACCCCTGATAAGAAACCGGTGATGGTGTAAAGTGGGATCTGTTCATACATTTATAAGCATCATGTATTATTCGTCTCACAACCAGCACCCCCCTCTTGATGTTTTAGAAGACAAGGAAAAAAGAAAGGCCACATCCCATTTTTTTAAGTTCCATCATTCCCCACTCACTTCAGCTGCCCAGCAGTTTTGAACACCAGTTCCTAGATGCTGCTGTGTAGTGCAGAATAGGTTTAGGTAATTGGAGGAAAAAATACAGAGCTAAAAGGACTGGTCTTTCTAAGGGCGCTCTTCTCCTGGTGGAGGCAAAAAGAAAAAGGTTTGAGTTTTTATAATTATGAAGAGCAATATATTGTGTAGTGGAAAGCCTTCAAGCTATCTACTTCCACCAAGCCATATATTTATTTATCATCTTACTTCAATTCCCCGAGACTTCTGTGGAAAACAGAAAATTCCTACCCTACAGCAAAAGAGATTTGTGCAGCTAGCACAAGTGATATAGAGAGCCACAGCCCTCCTGAACCAAATTCTCCAAGAGATTAAAAAGAAATGGCTTAAGAAAAGGACCCTAAAGCTCCAAAACCAAAGGCTTCAGCTCAGATTGCAAGAGACAAGCATCACTTGCCCTTTGTTTAGCAATGGAAGTCTTTCTGGCAGCTGTAAATAATTGTTGTTAATTATTTTAAGCAGTGCTACTGCACTCGTGTTAATAGCCCCAACATTCACGGCTATGTCACTAAATTAACTTAATTTGAGGCTCCCAAAATTTAACTAATGGCTCACTCACACTTCTGCTTTTGTCATGCCTAGAAAGCACAGATCCAAGCAGTTTTCCTTTTGCCCTGCTCCTTTCCAAGAGAAAACCCTCTGTTTAGTTGTAGATTGGGACAAACAGCAATCCGGGGGAAACCTGAATTGCCATTTGGTCTGATTGTGCACTAAAGAGAAGTTTTCCCAGGGGCAAAGAAGAGGAACAAAAGGAAGTGTGAACAAGCCCTAAGAGCTCCATTAAGGTAAGAACATAAGACATCTATTGGTTCAGATGCAAAGTTCATCGTAGCTAGTATACAGTCTTCTATGACGGCCCACAAGATACATCTGAGAAGGTCATGGACAGGACTTGGTCATTAGCTCTCAGCAACTGGTACACAGAGGAACAGTGCCTTGCAGTGGAGGTTCCATGTACCTATCATGACTAATAACCAGTATGGATCCGCCCTCCCTGAACTTATCAAATCACCTTTGGGAGCAAGCTAAACTAGTGGGTCATGGCCATCACTGGGAGAGGAAGTGCTTTCTTTTGCTTGTCCATCATCTGCTGGTACAGAGGGACACATGTTCCTACTTTCCTTACATAGGTTCCAGCTCCTGGGGGCCAAGGCACTTTGGAACCCCTCAATGGTTTTTTTAGGGTGCCCCCGCCATTGTTGAGACCAAATATGGAGCCAGGCATGCAGCAATGTCAGGGCATCCTGCAACGTCTGCCTGGAATTTGGCCTTACTATCAACCTTATGAAGACCAACATCCTGGGTCAGGAAGTAACCAGCACTCCATGCATGAGCAGTGGTGAGCACACGCTTGAGATGGTAGGTGTCTACCTGGATTCTACCCTAACCAGCAACCTCTCAATTGACACTGAGCTGGACAAAAGCATTAGCAAGGCAGCTACGGCAATGGCTTGCCTCTCCAAACGGATATTGGAGAATGTGATGCTAACATCCAATAGCAAGATAAAGGTCTACCAGGCTTGTATGTTGAGCACACTGCCTTATGGGCAACTTACACAGGCAACCTACACCCACCAGGAATGATGGCTCAATGGCTTCCACAAGCTCTGCATCAGGAAGATTTTGGGCATCACATGACAAGACAAAGCCTCAAAGAAAGATGTGGTCTCCCAAGCCTACATTCCCAGCATGTTCGCACTTCTGTCTCAGTCCCATCTATGCTGGCATAGAATTGAAGATGGCAGGATCTCCAAGGATGTGCTCTACGGGGAACTGGCTTCAGGCACCAGGCCCATTGACAGACCAATTCTGTGTTGCAAAGATGTCTGGAGACATGACATGAAGGCTGGCAGCATTAACCACATTGTGTGGGAATCCCTGGCAGATGGTCACAGCACTTGAAAACAATCCTAGAATCATAGAATCATAGAGTTGGAAGAGACCACAAGGGCCATCGAGTCCAACCCCCTGCTAAGCAGGAAACACCATCAGAGCACTCCTGACATATGGTTGTCAAGCCTCTGCTTAAAGACCTCCAAAGAAGGAGACTACACCACACTCCTTGGCAGCAAATTCCACTGTCGAACAGCTCTTACTGTCAGGAAGTTCTTCCTAATGTTTAGGTGGAATCTTCTTTCTTGTAGTTTGGATCCATTGCTCCGTGTCCGCTTCTCTGGAGCAGCAGAAAACAACCTTTCTCCCTCCTCTATGTGACATCCTTTTATATATTTGAACATGGCTATCATATCACCCCTTAACCTCCTCTTCTCCAGGCTAAACATGCCCAGCTCCCTTAGCCGTTCCTCATAAGGCATCGTTTCCAGGCCTTTGACCATTTTGGTTGCCCTCCTCTGGACACGTTCCAGTTTGTCAGTGTCCTTCTTGAACTGTGGTGCCCAGAACTGGACACAGTACTCCAGGTGAGGTCTGACCAGAGCAGAATACAGTGGCACTATTACTTCCCTTGATCTAGATGCTATACTCCTATTGATGCAGCCTAGAATTGCATTGGCTTTTTTAGCTGCAACCAGGAAGCAGTGAGCAGAGGAGAAATGACCACTCCACTGGGACAAGTGCAGAAAGAAGAGACACCATGGTAAACCTGCATCAGCACAACCAGATACGTTCATCTGCCCCAACTGCCCCAAAACATATCTCTCCCATATCAGTCTCTACAGCCACAGCAGACACTGTAACTCTACAATGGTTTGACCTCCCCCCCCCCCAAGGCACACACTTCCATTGTTTCCCGAGACAGACAGATGCCAGCCAACCAGTCCTGGATGTGGGAGGTCTCAGCTTATCTAAACAGTGAAAGGTTTGAATATGTACACGCTAGAATACTTTAGAAGCCTGTGGAAGTACATTTTGGTGTCTTTAATTTATGCATTGATTTTCCTTCCTAATATGATAAATGCTTCCCCTGTAAGTTTTTGTCCTCTTCTTGGCCTTGGCAGGTTGCCTCCATCATTGATGTCTGGCTCCAAATAATGAGTAATAACCTGATAAATGCCTTCTTGCCTTGCCCTAGTTTAGGCATCTATTATCAGTATTACTCAAAGCTACTCAAATAAATCCTAATTCCATATCCTGCAACCCTTCTTCCCTGTACCTAATGGAACATGAAATACCCCTTTTAAAATGTCATTCCACCTGTGTGTGCTTCAATCGTGCATTTGTGCTAATTAACTATCAGTGTGCATGTTCAATTAGTTGTCAGAATTAAGAAAGAATTGACTCGGTTTGAAGTGAAAGAGCATCCTCCAATGAGATCACTTTTTCTTTCCTACCTTGCAGTTCTTTGCAATCTGTAAAAATGCTGGTTAATTCAGAAGTTGCACAGAAGCCCCTTGGGCATTTTCTGTAATGTGGGGAAGATTACTTAAGTGATTTGGAGCTGCATAACATCCACATATCTTTTGTGTGTTGTGTCTTGGCGTGTGTGGCTTTTAAAAAAAATTTAGATGTTTTTCATTAAAATATTAACATTAAACAGCTTAAAGAATTCACCACTTACAATGCAACAGTGAACATACATAAACTTTCTAGCTGTGGAATAATTAAAAAGTTGTCTCAATAAGGAATCAGATGCTTTTAAAGATAAATATCCACAAGCCTGTTGTATCTGGAAGCTTAATGTCCCTGCAATTATGTAGAAAACTCATTAATTGTACTGATTGTATAAACAGCATTGTAAAGTTGCAATCCTATGCACATTTTCCTGGGAATAAGCTCCACTGAAGACAATAGGATTCACTCCTGGGTAAACATATAAAGGATTGCGATTTGAGTCAAAAGGCTGCTGTTTCTTATTGTTGTAGGATCACAATAACTGTAGGATCATAATCAAAAGCTAAGCGAGTCTCCCGTGTATACAAGGATTCCAATAAATATCAGAATTTCGATATTAGGGAACTCTCACTCAGTGCTGGATAAAAATGGACAGCCACCTCTCCACCACAACCCCAATTGTTGCAGTGTAGCTGCAGTGTTCAGCCAATGATTAAATACTGGTTCAGCCCCAGATCACACTATTAGATCATAAGGCAGTTAGGAATTCTGGAGAATGCTCTGCCCCCACTGTTCTGCAGTCACCACATACAGTGGTACCTCGGGTTACATACGCTTCAGGTTACAGTGGCTTCAGGTTACAGACTCCACTAACCCAGAAATAGTACCTCGGGTTAAGAACTTTGCTTCAGGATGAGAACAGAAATCGTGCTCCGGTGGCGTAGCGGCAGCAGCAGCGGCAGCAGGAGTGGGAGCCCCCATAGCTAACATGGTGCTTCAGATTAAGAACAGTTTCGGGTTAAGAACAGACCTCTGGAATAAATTAAGTTCTTAACACGAGGTACCACTGTAGTTTACTGCAGGGGCAAAACCATAAGTGGTTCTGCATCTTTTTTTAGTGATGTGGCGTGAATGGTGGGAAAGTAAGCTGTGTAGGGTGTCCTCTGGCTGGCACCCCCCTAACACACATTTCTCCTATCCAGTCCCAGCCCACCCATGAGGTGGGGTGAAGCACCTGCCTTAGGCAGTGGAAGTGTAACAGGTAGTCTGCTCCACCACCTCCCCCACCATGTATCCTAAAGAC